CTGGTTTCTTGAGATCCCCGCTTGAGGCTTATCCTGTCGTCGGCGCTGTCGCTTAACGCGCAGTGTCGCAAGGTCGGGTGCGTCTTCGGAAGCACGAATGGTTGGCGAGGACCGGCACGCTGGGAGGACAACACGAAGAGTAGACTGCTAGAGAGGAGACGGCAGCAAAGCAGCAAAGTCGGCACGACGATGATGGTGGTAAGTGATCAAGTCGTTCTCAGATCAAATAGATCTGTCCTACATGATCTATGGCACTTTTGTTCATTCAAGTGTCAAACACTCTATTCTGCTTAGATTCTCTTTACAAGTCGAAGAACATTAAATCCATGAAATTAAAGTAAAATCAGTAGAACTACATGAACGTCGTGATAAAGTAATCAAAGAACGCGAATTAATCTGATGTGAACGAAGAACTGAGGGCCTCCAACTGGGCATCAAGAAGGGCGCGCTCTTCATCCTCTTGGAGTAACGCCGCGAAAGGATCAATACTTACGACCTCATCGTTTCTGCCTCGTTGACTTTCGCAAAGTCTGTCTTGTCCTCGCGCCATCGCGCCTTCATCAGTTGGAGCTCTTCAAACTTGACCGAGCCCAGCTTCGCGCGTAAAACAGACGCGGTTTCGCCACTGCTAGAGAACAACCGCTCACAGGAGACTGATGTCGCCTGTGCAGGGAGGATGTCGACGGCGATGCGGGCAACTGTTGGATAACGACGAGCATTTTTCTAGATCAGGAGGTAAGAGAGAAGAATAAGAATGAGATGGGAGGACTAACCGGCCAATAGACACATAAGTCGGTTTTGGCTGTGACGGATTTCGACATGCGCTTGGTCCACGCACGCAGCTCCGACTCCCAAGACTTATAGCGATCGTTTCCGCGAGTCTTAACGAGAGCGGCGCGCGCCTTTTCAAATGCATCGTTAGGATCCTCGTCTGCATCTGAGGTTACCGCGGGTGATGAGGAACGAGTAGGAGCAGGGGAAGAAGTAGCAGGGGGTACGTCTTGATCATCGCCTTTGTCTTCTGGCTCATCGTCGTCATCGTCATCGTCGTCCTGGTCGTAGTCGGACTCAGAGCTATCAGAGTCCAAGTTGTCGGGACCAAGATAGTCCCCAGTGAGGCGTAGAGGCCAATACTTTTCCATCTGTTTAATGGTTAATGTTGAAAACATTAGAAATCCGAATCATAACGCACAGCAGTTTCGACGACCTTTCGCGCTTCCTCTTGCCAGTTCTTGGCGTTCTTGTTACCCTTTGCGATTTCCTCCTTCTGAGCGTCCGCACCGCCCCAGTTCGTATCCGTCCAGAGAAGCTTGTAATTGGGATGTACGACTATTCATAAAGGTGAGCGGAGGATCAGACACGAAAAGCCCACGTACACATAGCGAGAATATAAGAGGGTTTGAGATCGAACTTGCTGTAGTACTTGTCAAACTTTTCGAAGCCGGCATCGAGTGCGGAATGATATAACGTGTATTTTGGGTCGTTCCGCTTGATGGTCCAGGCTCTGAGGAGTGTTTCGTATGCAGGAAGGACACTGTAGATCGTGGGTGTCTCGCTCGACGACCAGCTCTGTTGAATACCATGCGGATCCTAAGGGAAAATTAATAAAATCAACTAAAAGAAAACACAAGAACGCACAGCAAGAATCTCGCGAATATCCACAACACGAAGCCAGGCTTTCGGTTTAAGCTTGAATGCCGTCCAAGGAATTTTCTTGATGGGCTTGCCCTTCTGTCGGATGATGGTGATGGGGCCAAAGCGCTCGTCCGCTGCAGAAATGAAACGATTGATTGCCTAAACATTAGTGAGTAAACACTTGAGTACCGGCGACCGCAGAAGGGACTTACGCTCGAAAGTTCAATAGCGCGATCAACCATTCCATACGCGGTTCCCCAACGTGTATTTCCATGGAGGATTAAGGAAAGGGTAGGCTCCATTTTCAACTCGGTTTGAAGGCCGTGGAAGTACGCGATCCGTTGGCCAGAGGCTTGAATTTTGACACTTAACGTCCGAATGGCCGCGAGACAGTCGATGTCGCCGTGTATAAGATTATCGGGCTCACTAGGATCCCACTCCCAAATGGCTTGTGTAGTAGCGAGGGCGGCCTGCGACGTGATCTCGTCATGACGGCTTCGATTCCAAGATTGAGAATATGTGCAAGACACCTAATGCAAGTTAGATATATTCACAGTGGAAAGAGAGAAGAGGACATTAGCTGGTGTTGGGCAGCATTCCAATCGCCTAGATCCAGTGCGCGGTGAAGCTTCTCGAGCGTGACGCAGAGGGGACCGTTGCTGGGCGCGTTATCCAAGGTGAGATCACCAAGCTGAAAAATTCAAACTCAGCAAAGGGAACTGGTAAACGCGTACAAACCAACAGACCTTCGAGATCTTTCGGTCAACATCGATGATACCAACTCGCTGGCAGGTACTGAAAAAGTACCTGCCTCGTTCTCGCCACTATGGTCGCCCTCGATTGCTCGGAATCCAATGACGGCGGTGCGGATACTCCATCGCGGCATTTTCTTCTTGCGGAGCGCAATCACTGTCCAAGTTCCAGTGACGCCGAGGAATCCCGTCTTTCGCGCAAGTCTTTCGGCGGTCCACCCATCCGCGGCACAGCAGACCACGCCAAGCGCCTCCTGTCATAAAGGTGAGTTGCATGCTTCAAATTTTAATCTGACTTACCTGGATTGATTTCTTGTCAGCTTCTAAAGCCGCGACACATTCATTATGGATGTATTTCATGATTTTGTGGGATGTGGGGAGTTCACGAGATCGGGTGGCTGGGCGCATGGCGACGAGTACGTTGCGGAATTTGGCGGCGTCGGCGGTGGCGAGAGACTGCCTGAAATCAGTACGTGTATAGTTTACTGCACTCCAAACTTACCTGATCCGTGCAGCAGATGAACTTCGCAATGTGCTCCTCCGCGGATTTCACTGAAAAACTCCTTGGAACCTTCGACGGCTTGAAGACACCCAACAAGGTCCCCGCGTTTGGGTCTTTCCCCGCTTTGACCACCTCCGCCTTCTTTGCCGCCACCTCCTCTGCCTTTACCATATCTGCCGGCTTCGCTTTTTGGCGGATTTCTATTCCCTTATCCTTGCAGTACTTTCGTACACCGCGAAATGCTGCCGACAATGGACACGCAGCGACGAATTACTTCCAACCTTGAATGCGGCGCGGAGGCCTCCTTTACCCTCAACGATGGATGGGTTCGCTCTGACGACCAGGTAAGCAAATGAAGTTGCGACCATAGAATAATACTAACTTGCAGATAGTGCAGAATCGTCCTGTTTGCGGCAAATCGTTATGAAGGCCACGGAAGACAACCTTCTTGACCGGTTCAAATATGCTGTTCAAGTCGTCAGCGGCTTCCCTTGTTGGCTGTATCTTGGCAATCTCGGCAACATGGCGTGCGTGGAGGATCTTGCTCGGTCAGTCAAACTATCATTCTTTATTAACAGCGTCAGCTTACCGGAGCATCCTCATCTGCAGATTCCTCGTCTCCTTCATCCTCATCGACGTCCATGGCTGACTCGGGCGACGATACGGGGTCGGGTTTCGCTGCCTTCTTTCCTCGGCGACGCTTCGCGGGTGCGGCTTCCGGTTCATCGGCTTCACTCTCATCTACCTCGGATGTCGTATTCCCTCGGTGACGTTTGCTGGAGCCCGACTTGGAGGTCGACGCCGTCGTCGACCGTGTTTGCAATGAGGGGGTCGATTTCTTGGTGGGTGCTGTCCGTTTTTTCGCAATGGTCTTCTTGTTGGCCATATTGGTCCCCGTAGGTGTATGTCGTGGTTTGTATATGTGAAACGGACTGCTACGATCATTTTTATATTACAGTCTGTTTGTATATGTTAGTTTCACCTGTACTATCCGGTTTTTTGTTGCTGTTCCTCGAGCTCGTAGTAGGTACAAAATATATATTCCTTTATGTGGAGAGTTGACAGTCTTGACCGGTTAAAACCGGTCTTAACTTGACCAGTTAAGACCGGTTTTAGCCAGTTAGATGCCAGTTAGGTGTTTACCTCTGGCGGATCATAGCCGGTAACCGTAACCGGTTAAGTTTGTGACCGGTTACGTTGCGATCAGTCAAATTTTCGGTCAAGTCCGGTCAAGTTATGCACCTTAACCGGTTAAGCATAACTTGACTTTCAAACCCTAGTAGGGGCTCGAGTCCGTCGCTGGATACTGTCCTCATTCAAACCTCTGGCGAGCTGTAATTTCGTTTTGTGCCCGGACATTGAACACTGATTGTGAGAAAACGAGAGCGACGCGTCGATGAACAGGTGAGTTAAGAAGTTGTCGGGACTGGACAGGTGCGGAAATACCCGCAAATTCGAAACTGGATTGTACTGACTACCTACAGGTCCTTTATACTCTACAGGTATGTACTATGAATAACTATCGGAGGCATGACTAATGTACGGCGGGAATGGTGGCGAGTCGGTGGTGATGGCACCGGTGGAGTGCGCCGGGATCGGGAGTACCGGTATCGGGTGCAGCGATGCACTTGATATTCCAACACTGATCACTGATATGAGCTTAAGACGTAGGTGAGAAGGCACTTGTAGCCCATCGACTACCTCGTGCTCATGTATATTGATAGGACCGTCTTCTCTTTTTGCACCAAGAGTTGAGTATCATTGCCGCTGACTGTTCTCACATCTTGACCACCAACATGCGCAGTAAGTCGAGTCGTGTTCCTCGTAAGCGTTGGTATTAACTCTTCCAGCTTGGCAACAACCAAGTAGTCATGCCCACGATGCTAGTCTCCCTTAGGCAGACTCGATCAAAGCTGACACTTACCACGATGCTAGAAAATACACTGTTTTCCTCGAGATTGCGATGATGGCAAAAGTGCCGAATTCGAGACGTGATTCGGAGATGGTCAGTACTTTTTGTACCTCGACACCCTTATGAAAGTCTCTACATTGAAAACTCCCTACAGGCTCGTAGGGCTGAGGGCAGAATTGACGCCACCACTGCATACGTGTCGGATATGGTGTAAAGGCTAACATTGCCGCCTCTCATGCAAAGGTTTAGCTGTTCTTTCTGCGCCGCAGCTCGGGGTTCGATTCCCCGTATCCGAATGCAGACAATAGCTTCAGTTTTTTTGCTCCTTGTCATCAGGGTGTTCTAAAGTCTTATTGGCGACGACGGATCCAGAGGTTCACTGATTTGTGGATGTAACTATGCCTGGCCCTGGCACCGCAGGCCTCGTACAAGCTGCCAAATTTCTTTCAACTACACGCTTCCAACTCCATTTGTATCTGGGAGACGTACGGCAAGTGCGGTGCGTACTAGGGAATGTATCGTCGTTGGGTATAGTCACTAGTGTACTTAGTTTCGATAAAATAGGCCCCTTTTCCCTTAACAGGCAGGTCGATCGCTTTTGATCGATTGCCGAGTTGCCGAGCACGTGGCCCGGCTGACCCTTGCTGTGGGTGGCTACGTGCACGCGTGGCCTGCATCCATACCACCATTCCCGCCTCGTTCGATTATCGCTTGCACTCCGGAGCTCAGCAGTGCCTCACCAAACGTTGTTCTACACTGTACTTTGGGCTCCGGGCTTCGTTGGCTTGCCAGCTTGGATCTGTAGTGTGCGGAGGAGAAGCAGGTACCGGTGATGATGGTCGTCGTGCTGGACCTCTCAAATTTTCGAGCGCCTGCGGCGCGCTGTTGAGCAGTAGCTTGTATTTTACCCATGTACTCTCGTTTTTAGTCTATGTACATGACTGGAATTTTGTCTCTAGGAAGAATTACAATATTACCTTTCTCTTCTTGACACCGGTGCCTGCGGCGGGTTGTCGGCGGGCCATTATGTGTGCATGTGTAAACACTCAACTTGACTAAATGGCCGTTCAGAGATTTTTGGCTGCCTGCGGCGCGATAAAAGACTCTACTCGTAGATCAATCAGCGTGATCGAGCGCCACAGTTTTCGGGGCGCCTGCGGCGCGTCAAGTGCTCAAGTTCAGTATCTGGCACTACAGTTACATAGCATCCGATAAATGAAGACTATGACATATTTACATGCCTACGCACGTACATCGTGAATGGAGCTGACAACCCGGGAACTACAAGCCCTGTCCTCATGGTATTTCCAGTAAGCTACAATAAGTAGCCACAGCAGCCAAGTAAGTGCCGGTAAGTGTCAAAATAACTGAAATAACCATCATTATAACCTGAAATAACAGGGTCTTCCTACACCACCAAAATTCTTGGGGGTAGCGAGGATATTAGATCGCGATGTTTGTAGACTGTAGAGTAAGAATAAAGCTTCATTGTCTTAATCGGGCTGCTTCGACATCCAGAGCGAAACGTCGATCCGGTGTTCCGGCATCATCGGAACGACGGGGAAATGATATTATTTGGATGTTGCTTCCTTCCTCAATCTCATGTCGTCTACCACTTGGCCTTTTAACTGCTCGCAGGCCGTTTCCGGCTTAATCTCCAACCATGTCTTCACCAACGTACGGATTGGCACCTTCTGGCGCCTGAGCAGTCCAACCAGCACAAGGAGCTCTTGGCCATGCTTGAGGCCCCGGAAAACCAGCGCAACAAAGCTTGGGCATATCACCGCCTCGATGTATACAGGGCGAACTCTTTGGAGGTCCACCTCCACCCACGGACCCCGCCGAGGCTGCAGCTATCACCCATTTCACAACGTGTGCGATGGGCATTGCCAATAAGCTTGGCCTCAGCGCGGAGGAACGGAAAGAGCTACTTATTGTACCCTCGGTTCATTTTCTGTTGCTGCTCATGATTCACGACTTATTCTCGTCAGTTGAGAGCACCCCACGAGGCCATTATTTGGCTCAGTGGTCATGTTCTCGCGATGCGCTCATCGCTGGCTGCCATTCACCCCGCGGACCAAAAGTTTGAGATTTTGTCGTCGCTCAATGTTCGTTTACTCTCCTGTCCTGTGGCATGCCACTAATTCCAAGTTAGCTTATCGTCGTTGGTGCTTGTCGCGAGGTACTGCTTGACTCGTCGTTGGGGGCGTATCTAAAGCGGCTGAACAAGAAAGCGGTCGTCAGCATTATGTTTCCTTGTTTGATACTCTCTCTCTGACTGCCATTACTCAAGGAAATCATGAAGGCTCGAGGTGTCCCCCGCTCCATTCTAGATGACTCTACAGGTGCGATGCCCGTGATCAAGTTACGCATCGGCGGCTTGCTCACACACTCCCGCAACCAAATGAAGGGCAAGGTAAGGATAATTTTCTTGTTCTCTTGAGTCTTGGCTGATATTGACTCCATGCACAGCTCGGAGAATCTTTTGGTGTGTGGGATACGGCAAATCAGAAGTGGACGGGCACCAGCATTGGAATCTACGAGCTTACCGAGGGCATCATTGCTGCTGTTGGCGGCACATCGTATTCGTTAGCGATCACGATTCGGCTTATGGCCCAGAGATGTACGGCGACCAGTCCCTGTCATCCTTGCCCGATAATCTCACCGAGGAGTAACGGCGCCAGACACTCGTTTCCCGTTGAATTTACCTCTCATCCGTAGTCAATAGTATTCTTGATAGTAGCTCTATTAATGTCATCTGTTTTTCCTGCACTTTTTGTCGTGATGTGTGCAATCTCGAGTAATACCTGGTATCCGGAACAAGCCTGTTTTCGATGTCTGCTCAGGGAACATTCAAATGAGATATTAATTCATATCCGACTGACACAGCACGCGGTATATCAAGCTAAGATAGTCTGGTATGGATCGAAATACTGTAGCGTTTCGACCGCAAATTCACATAACGGGTCACAGAGGTCTTTGAAGTGAAGCTATATATACACCATAACGGGTCACGGACCACTTTGGCCAGGCACGAGCCTCCAAATAAGGAAATTTCAGGTCCCGCCTATGGCGGGACTGTCCAAATAAGGCAATTTAAGGGTCTGTGAAGCTGTTCGCTGTAACTTCAGACCATAACGGGTCACAGGCTGTGAAGTTACGGTTGAAACGCTACAGTATTTCTTATGAATTTATGTCCAGGCGACATCATTGGATGTCACTTAGATGTCACTCTTCGCACAGCGTGAGATCATCCCTCTTAGATCGCGGCGACGTCTAGACCTGACGGCGGTGTAGGGTAGTAGCACACGAGTGAGTACACATGCTGGACCCTGCGATCGGAAGCATGTATCAATCGCGTTCTCTTCTGGCCTCTTCTTGACGCGTTGAGGATATTTCTGTAGTGAAGACATTCCATGAAAATGCATGAAGCATTCCCCATGGAAGCCTTTCAGTTGTATGAAATGGTGAATCCTGCGCGCGCGCTCTGCCGTGATCTTAAACGACGCGACCGGCGCGACCGAATCACTGAAGGGATCAATGCCGGATGTGGCATCCATATGACAAATAACTCTCAAAGGAATATGGACTCCGTTCTTGCCAGTTTCAGAGCTTAAGTCCTCCAGTCAACATTAGCAGAGTCGGAATACTACTGACAGGAGCTTGTAACGTGCTACCAAGCAAAGTATGATGACTATTCAATGCGGGCGATAGAGGTTCAAGTAATCTAGGGTCGTCGCGTGTCATGATGCACTGGGCGTGGCGCGCGGAGGCGAGCGAGCATTCCTCCCTGCAATCCAAATCGGGATTGAGGATCTTCCGAGATCTTGGAAGAACTGCCGGTATTTTGGCTGTTATTTCTTCGTGAATAACTGTACTTATTTAAAAGGCTACCGTTGTCGCCGCTTTAGGGCAGCTCGGGGTTCGAGTCCCCGAATGCGGTGTGTTCAATCTTTCGGATAAATTTTTCGTTGTGACGAGCCCCCAGTGGTTAGACCAACGTCCTTCTTACGGGCCTCAGAAGCAGTTCGATATAGTGTAGGGGATTGAGTCCGTCGTTGGATACTGTCCTCATAAGGGTGGAGATTTTCTGAAGTTTTGTGCCACGTTGAACACTGATATCAGCTTGAAGCTGTTCGTAGTGCAATGGAGAAGGCAGTTGTAGCCCATCGGCTATCTGGTGCTCATATGCAAGTACTAGCGTGGTCACTGGTCTCGTTCTCTTTTTTGCCAAGGGCAATCAAACCTATATTTAGACTCCGGTTCCCCGGTCCGGTGATTGTTTGTTGTTTGGACGCATCGACCCATCCCATTGTTCTCCTTCAACAATTACGCGCTCCATCGCACGCTCTGGCCACAATGGGAACAATAGCAGCGAGTATAAAGCCACAGGGTTCTACCCTACCCGTCAATCCTCTTTTTCTCTCTATATACCACCTGGTGAGTCGTAAAACAAAAAACTGTTCGGTCAAGGAAAGGCTAACAATGAAGACAAGGCCTGGCGCCCCACGGACGACGACAATATACACGATCTTTGAACGATATTAGAGATGATGAAGACTGCCACTGCCACTTTCCTTGGACTCCTCCTTGCTGCCAATGTGCATGCCGCGCCGATGAAGCGCACGCCGCGCCATCCGCATCGTCTAATCCAGAGGGCGACCGCTACCGCGTCATCAGCCACTACGACGGACCTTGCCTCATCGAACTTGGCTCTCGCGGAGGCGCTCAATGAACAATTCGCTTCTATAAACGCGGACGACGCGTGTGATGGTGCGTTCATCCTTTCTTCCTTTTTGCTGTGATTGCTGACAGTGGAAATGTAGAAGCCACTCTAGCGCAAGCTTGCATTAACGGCTCTTACGCGCAGTGCGTATCGTCGGCGTGGGTCGTGACCGAGTGCGCGTCGGGGACGTCGTGTTTCGTTGTTCCGCTGGTGAACAGCGCTGGGACGAGTGTGGTGTGTGATACGACGGATGATGCGGCAGTGAGACTTGGTGGTAGTGTGAGTGCGACGGCGACTGCGAGTGCGGCGGAAGCGTCTGGGACGGCTGTTGATGACGATGGTTGTGAAGACGATGGCGCCGATTCCGCGGACGACGGCGACGATTGTGAGGACGGTGACGATGCCACTAGCATTTCTTCCTCCTCTTCTGCATCCGCTTCCGCCTCCTCTACAGCTTCCTCCGTGGGCACTGCCGGAGCTGCAGTCATCACGACCCTCATCGCCCGTCCCTCCTCCTCTTCACCCACAGGCTCCTCCACATTTCTCGTGGCCGCGCGTCCTTCCGCCGCTGCCAAGCGCCAAATCGTCAACGGGTCCATAAGCCTTGTCCCCATTTCTACAACCTCGGCGTCGACTGCGACTGGGACGGCTGTGGTAGCATCGGGTGCGAGTGTGGTCACGGTGACAGCTACTGTTACGGAGACGACGACGATACTGGTGGTCCCTGTTTCGTCGGCTAGTGCATCTAGCTCTGTCGCCAGTGTATCTGCTGTTACATCGAGTGTCGCTGTTTCCTCGAGTGTAAGCGCATCCTCCGTCTCGACGTCGGCTGTCACTACGGCTTCGTCCGCATCTAGCGCCTCTTCCCTAGGATCAGGCGTTGTATCATCCTCTTCAACCGCCTCTTCATCCACCACGAACCCCTTCCCCTCGTTGAGCCCCGTGTCTGCGATCGCATCTGGTGCTTCAACGACCATTACCTCCACCGCCTCCTCATCCGCCCTATCTTCCTCCATTAACCCCTCAGCGACATCCACATCCGAGGCGGACGAGGAGGCTGCAGCTGAGAGCTCCGCCAAGGCCAGTCAGAGCAGCAAGCTGGCTGCCCAGTCGAGTTCAGCCAGTGCGAGCACTGTGACGTCGAGTGCGGCTACGTCCTCTGCATCTACCTCATCGGTGTCTCCATCTTCTACTTCAGTGCCGAGCACGACAAGTAGCGTAGAAGAGACTGCTACGACGAGCACCAAGGGACCATTTACGTTTGCCACGAGCGTGTAAGATACGTTACATACTGGATATGTGCTTTGATTGGGACTTTTTTGCATTTGTATTTTTAACATACACTGTACTTACTCTCCTTTACCTTACGTGGACCAGAATAGTAGAGCTTCGAACTCGTGCAATTGACGTGGCGCAATTTCTTTGAACCTCGATGTGCAGCGCATACACAAGTTCAGCATCCCCGACTCAGGCTGTATTCAAGTAAAAAAATTCGTGGCCTGAGGAAGGCCTTCACGGTCACGGGCCCTGGAGAAAAAAAGAGCGGTGCATAGGATCGCGCCGTGTAACCACGCAGGAGAGGCGGGGTGGATGAGGGCAATGGTGGGCGGTAGGGATGGGGCTGGTAAAGAACTGCTAGACCAAGATCAAAGTCGACAATATTCGATAGTAGGTTGATACTAAGACAAATTCAAGGACTTTGCTGCTTGCACCCGGAAAATGCGCCACATTGCATCTGACATGACAAGCCAGCAAAAACTTGAAAAAGTAGTCGCCTTGTTACGGATTTCACGGATTCAGATACGGGGAATCGAACCCCGAGCTGCCGCGCACAGATCATTGTGCACTTATGAGAGGCGGCAATGTTGGCCATTACACCATATCCGATGTATGGGCAGCTGGCGTCAAATTTTAATCGCGCCCTCAGAGGCTGTAGGGAACTTTCAATGTAGAGGCTTTCAGGAGGAACACTGTACAGTACCGATGGACTTGCTGTATCCTCGATTCCTCTAGTATCGTGGGCATGACTAAGTACTTGAATCTTGGTTGTTTTCCAAGCTGGAAGACCCGACGCTTACGAGGAACACGACTCGACTTACTGCGCGTGTTGGTGGTCCTCCAAGATAACAGTCAGCGGCAAATTCAATGACACTCAACTCTTCGCGCCAAAAAATAGTCGGTTCAACTCAATGTCAACAGACTCTATGAGCACGAGGTAGCCGATGAGCTACAAGTGCCTTCTCACTTGCGACTAAGAACGGCTTCAAGTTCAAGCTCATATTAGTAGTGTTCAACGTTCAACGTCCGGGCACAAAATGGAACAGCTCGCTCGCAATATCCAACGACAGACTCAAGCCCCTACACTGATTCTGTCAAGGCACGCCGGACATTGATCTAGAGCCACCACTGGTGCTTGGTGCTTGTCGCGACCAAAATTTCACCAATAGGCTGTGTTGATCACAATTTGGATACAGGGAATCGAACCCCGAGCTGGCTTCGATGAGAGGCATCAGCAATGGTAGCCTTTGCACCATACCCGATGAAGATGCCTTCCCTATACACCACTTGTTATCATTGCTCCTGGCTATAGATGGAGCTGGAAGCCTGGTAGACATGCTCACGTGTAGTTGCATGAAGTTTGGCAGCTTGGCATAGTCGCATCCACGAAATCAGTGAACGACCGTCGCTGGTAAGAGTTTAGAAACAACATCCTTTGTTCTCAGGAGCAAAAAAGGCTTCGCATGGCTCCGCATTCGGATACGGGGAATCGAATCCCGAGCTGCCGCGCACAAGACATTTAGTACGAACTATGAGAGGCGGCAATGTTAGCCGTTACACCATATCCGATGTGGGTAAGGCGCCCTGGGAGCTCGCACCGAAATTTTCAGGTGGAGACTTTCATATACAGCGTTTGTGCTGACCATCGTCTCAACAAAGGTTTCTTCATCTTGCCTTCAGATAACCAAGTGATCCGAATCGTGCGCGGCTGAGACTGTTGGGTCACGACACGTGAGCCCTGTCACGTTGATTAGGCAGGGTCCCGGACTTGGACTTGAAGTTACCCGTCATGCGCTTATCCGAAAGCATCTAGTGTATTCGCGCTCAGAATGGGTTTTAAGCCGGGCATGTTACAAGTCTGCAATGCGGGGCAGACTCATACCCCGTGTCCAACGTTTTGTTCTCTACTGTTAATAGTGCGTGCAGCTTCGATTTCCCAAAACTTCCACAGCGCTCGGATGCTGATATCTTGGCTCACAGGCTGAATTATCCTTGTTTTATATTGCGACGTATGCGACTATCATCCACCGACTCGTCATCCACTTAGCTTGCTAAGAATACAACCCTCGACTGTAATGCTTTGACGCCCTTCTGCGGGTCATCGGAATCTGCGTGCCCGTCCTCCTGGTCGTCGGTAGCGGCTTCGTTTCGTGTCGTACAGCAAACCTGAGGAAGGGGTGGATGAGGATTGCGAAGGCTGTAGTGATGTTCATGCTCAAAATCCTTGCCGTGCCGGCTCTAATACTTGGCGTGTTCGCCAAGCATCAAGCTAGGCGAATACAGGCATCAGGCGATCTCGTTCTCGATGTCTTGGTGACCCATCCTGCCTACCACCACCTCGGCGTTCAACTCGTCCCGCGCGATCATACAGTGCCCCATCTTTCCCCCCGAAATTTGCGACGCCATCGTTGCGCTTTGCGACGATCCATACTCGTTGCCGGCATGCAGCCTCGTTTCTATCGCCTCGGTACCGACGAGCAGGCGCCATATTCGATCCTCACGTCGCTCACATCTCATAGACGTACGGCGCGGCTGGGAAGCCTCCTAAGGTCTCCTTTGCAGACGCTTTCGCGCAGCATTCATGTCGTCCTTTTTAGCGGACAAGATTTCGGTCAGCAGTGGCGTGTCCTTCGTGTTCTCCGTCTTAAAGGCGCGAAGGTTCACGGCGCGAGTATCACACGGCCTCCCCATCTAACACGTCGCCTACCCCAAATATACCCGGACACACACGATTTGACCTGTCTACCCGAACAATGTTGATCCACACCTGGCTGCAGACGGGTTACGGACGTTTCTCATGTACATCCGACGCTTTAAACGTCTTCGTTCACTCACTATAAATGTCTCGCTGGTGAGAATTCCGCCGTTCTTGGGGATATCGCCTTGGCGCCGACCATGCTACAGATATCTTACCCATCACGCAACTAGCTTTGTAGGGCAAATGGCGACCTATCTGGCGAGGTGGCTGCAGAGTCGGTGTAGGAGCCTGGAAACCATGAGAATAATGGGTGAATTTGGATGGTTAAGGACTGATAACGCGACTGTCGATGCTCTCATCAGGGCGAATTGGCAAACCCCTTCAACGCTTGACGTTGGTAGTGCCTACTACCGATGGTTCGTATTTCTATAAGAATATTAGTCCTGTTCTGACTTTATGTACAGCGCCTCTCAATCGACGAAACTAGATTCAATTCATCTTCTCCTGGCTGTCGGCTCAGTTGCAAGCATCGATTGTGCTATCAAGACGTTACGAACTTTGGATGCGCTCCAGCCGCCACCTCGAGACCTGTTGATCCAAACAAGGAACACAGATGATGTCCTGTCATCCTTTTCCGAGGTGTTGGTGGATACGCTTGGAATGAGACTCGCAAATGCGAAACCGGGTTGGATGAGATATCTCCGTCCATAGAACGGCGCCGGAGAAATGGCGACTTGTGCCAGGGCTTCCGCTATAATTGACTTCTGCTACTGTCAATCGACGGTCTCTATCAGAATGAGGTACAGGGTAGTGGTGGCAGTGGATGGATAAACCCACGTCTTGTGGGTACTGATCCTTCCGCTAAACGCCAGTGATCATCCTAGACAAGTGTCCGTCCTTTTCTGCTTTATCCCATGACCGACTTTTGCTCTACCTGGCGCAATCATACTTCGCATCCTGTCATCGACTTCGCGGCCTGCCGATGCGACGGAGAGGATAGTGCAGGATTTTCTGCGCACAAAGGATGTACGCACAGTGCCGCTCGCGTGGTCGGTATCATAGGACCGTTTATCGTTATCGTCGCGGTGGTATGCTGGTTTCGTGGGGTGAGAAGAGGGTTGGAGGATATTTTCTTTTGGAGCGTGGCTCTCCTCTGTGCTGTTCCAGCTGTCCTATACTGGCTTCTCTATTATTCGACGAGAGCCCTGAAATGGTCTACAGCCTACGGCGACGTCTGCCTAGATTGGGTCATTGTTCATCCTCTCATGCAGCCTTTGCGCCTCGCCATCAAACGGTCCAGTACTCCTATCGCCCAGGATCCCATTCTTCCGAGAGAACTCTGTGACATCATCATTGCGTTCTGCGAGGATCAGTCTTCGTTACTAGCCTGCAGCCTCGTTTGTGTTGCATGGGTGCCCGCGAGTCGAAGGGAGTTGCATATAGAGCTCCGATTTACATCTCACGAACGTACTATTCGGTTGGGCCGCCTCCTACGCTCGCCTTTGGAAACACTATCCCCATGGCTTGACTGTACTGGCATCGAGTTCGGCGGGAAGCGTTATCGCCAGCAGTGGCGATTGCTATACCTTCTCAAATTGAAGGGCTTTCAGCCGCAGAGAGCAACTATCTGGCGCCGCGGTCGCCTAACTCCCCATCTTCTTCACATATACCCGGATCTCCAGAGCTTAACCTTCCACGTTGTTCCTTGTAACGATACGGATATGTGGTTACAACAGGCTGACGAGCTGTGTATGTTCCTCACTACAGTCCTGCGCTTCAAGCATTTGCGGTCTCTGACTATCGAGATCAATCCGGAACATGTAGATATGTTCTTAAGCTTTATACCATCTAACTACCATTTGAACACCTCGGAAACTCTTTCTGTCTCTCGCCTGTCATTGGGTGGAAGATGGATCAATAGTCTCCTTATCTGGCTTCAGTCGCGTTGTCATCGGTTGGAGACGCTGGACATACACACCATTGCAGGGTGGTCCGCCGGCGGGTCGTCAGCGGTGTTCCTCTTAGAATCGCTGATGAGGTCCAACTGGCAAACACTCAAGCACCTCAACTTGGCTGTTTCCTCTCTCGACGGTCTGTCCGTTTAGCCTGAACATGACCTATTTGCTGAATCGAGCCTTTGTTGTAGCTCCGCTCAACCTCTCGTCGCTGAAACACTTGACCTCCATTCATCTATGTCTCGAACTTGAGGCTCAGACGTCTGGTAGCGTTGATTGTGCCATGAAGACATTACAGACGTTGGATAGCTCGCACCGGTTGAAAGAGCTTCGTCTTCAGAGCTCGACGCTCAATTTTACGGATAGTCATGCAGCAACCTTCGACGAAATCATCTTAGGTACGCTTGGCTTAATGCCAGTCACAAAAGAATCGAATCTTCATAGTTATGTCGGGACAGCGGCGACATAGTACATAGTAGCAGCGCCGAGGTTTTTTTCCAGACCCCGAAACTGATGATCTTTGATACCGGAAGTCTTGCGCGCTCCAAATACTTATCAGGCCGCCTGTCCTACTGGCTGCGGATGGTTTAGTTAGTATAGAGTGATGGATAGTTTCGAACTACCGATTGCGATGAGGCTATCGTGCGCCATAGTCATGATGGTGTTCATAGAGACAAGCTATGTCATCATTGAAGGTGTCGACGGCGGCATAAGTACACTAATCCTCATCCTCGGAGGAGTCGCTCATAAACATTCCCTCCCCGCTCTCCTGCTCCCAATCCCAAGCATTAATACGCACCCCCGGCGCGTCTCTCAACGCCCTCACCTTAGACTTCCCCATCGGCCACGACCCACCCTCCGACATGACACACACCTCCACCCCACGCAGCGCACTGCGCTCTATCCTTGCCAACACCATCTCAGCAAAGCTATCATCAAAGAACAGATATTCTGAATAGACGCTATTATGATACCGGTCCTCCAATTCCAGATCAAAGGACCGAAGGGAAGGGAGGAAAGGGAACAGTCCGTCATCGTCTTCGTTCCACATGTCGTAGACGAGTTTTTCCAAGACGCTATCATGTTGCTCATCCCACTCCGTGAGGGTGAGCCAGAGCGATTGAAGTGTGTCCAAGTTATCGAGAATATCAAGAAGGGTATCATCCAGCAGCACATTACTGAGTGTGAGCGTGATGAGCGACGGGAACTGGGATTCCTCCAACATCTTGTATATGATGTACAGCGTCTCCGGGGGCTGGGGGATAGCGGGGATATTGCCTTCAATAAAGCAGCCCATCACCAACGACGTGAGTGACGGGAGCAGCAAGGAAGCGAGGAATGCTGGATCGCCAACGCTCAATTCTGTAACCAGCGGCTTGAGAATCCGGCCCCCGGAGGACGAGGGCGCAGTGTACGGTGTGGGGATCGTTGGGTAATCAAAACGCGAAAGAGTAGGAGAATCCTGCAAGGCCTTGAGATACCGAGCGCGCACCGATGCATCGGGCGCCTTCCCGCTATAGACGCTCGCAAACTCAAATGAGGTGAGCCGATGCATTGGCAAAGCAGTCACATAGCTGGCCGGGAACCCATGTAGCTCTAGTTCCCTGAGATTGGGCGCATCGCAAAATAAACCTGCTACGTCGAAGGAGGAGTCGCGACTGGCCAAGGATAGAGTAAGGTTTTCGAGACAACCTAATTTGGGCTGTACACTTCTACACCAATCAAGTTCGCGTTCCGAGTGGATGACAATGTGGACTTTTCTCCAGCGACTTGAGTGCTCCGCAAGGACCTTATAGACCGACCGGACGAGGGCGTCAGAAGGCTTGGTACCAGAATCGCGATTAGCGAAGTAGAAGGATATGGGATGGCCCTGGGAGCGGCGGAGGGTGCTCGCTAATACACGAGGCAGAACTCGGGCCCGGGGGTGGTTGAAGTTTATATGCAGGTCCACCCAGAGTGACGGACACGATGCGTCGCCAATGTTGTACCATTGCTTGCAGACCAACATCACGTCGCGGATCGGAGGCCTGTTATATTCGTTCGGCAGGTAAGTGGGGAGGACGATGGAGGTGGGGATGTAAAAAGAGTGCTCCCCGAATTTGAAAGAGTCCTCTTTGAGAGAGCAGAAGATCCGGGCAAGGAGTTCGACGGGCAGTCGACGGATGGGCATAAGAGAGTGAGAAGCTCGTCGTGGATGTGGTGCAAGTATCTCGCACGCTTTGTGAAGGCGAGCTTCGCGGGAGCCTTCAAGGCCGAATCGTCTATTGCTGTGGCCAGTTTTTCTTGGGCGCGGATGACGGCGGCGAGACATGCTTCGACATGCAAGCGCTGCGCGGAAAGTAGGCGGTGTTCGGGGTGTTCCAGTAGCTGGGCTATAGCGCGTTTGTGGGGAATGTCGCGCATCGACTTGTAGGAGGTTACTTTGGCGAGCCAAGATGTCATGTTGACTGTCTGAGTAAATAAGAACAACGCGCCATGAAGTCGAGTGTCGAGTGGCTACACACCTGGGGTTAATCCTGCAAAGAGTACTGATGCTAAACGATAACGAGGAAATGTCGCTTTATAGGTTTTAGGATGAACGTTAACCTGAGAAACTTGCCGCACAAAGAAGCGTCGTGATGAAAGGGTATGAAAGAACGTCATGTCGTGAAAAGGTGCCGGACTCTTTGATGGCTCTTAAAGGACTTGAGCACATCTTTCTCGCCTGCCAAGAAGCAAAGAACTATGTAACACCTGTCCCTGCTTGTTCGCAAAAGGCCCAACACGCGCACGTGTGAATCGAACCCTCACCCAATCAATTGATGGTATCTTCTTCCAAGCCTCTTCCTCCACCTTGCTTGGCCCTCGCAGAGCAGTGTTTGCTTCTCTAAATGCGTCGGTGGTGTGTGTACCCTCTTCCGCCTCCATCTACACATGGCTGACACGGAGTCGTAGACCCCAGTCTCGCACAGGCGTGTATCAACGGCTCTTATGCATGATGGAGTGCGCGTCGGGGACGTAGGGTTTTGCTGTTCCGCTGCGAGACTTGGTGGGAGTGTGAGTGCGACAGTGCGAGTGCGGCGGAAGCTGTTGATGACGATGATTGCGAAGACGGTGACACCGATTCCGCGGACGACGATGATGCTACCATTTCCACCATCCCCGCCTCCTCCTCCTGTATGCCTCCTCTACGGTTTCCTCTGTCGATGTCAACAGCAACGCCGTCGGAGCTGAAGCCATCACCACCCTCCTCGACGTCCCTCCTCTTCACCCACAGTCCTCCGGACCGCCCGTCCTTCACCCGCTGCCGAATGCCAAATCGTTAACGCTCTGTCCCCATTCCTACATCCTTGCGACTGGGACGGCTGTGGTAGCATCGGGTGCGAGTGTGGTCACGGTGACGGCGACTGTTACAGAGACGACGACGATACTGGTGGACCCTGTTTCGTCGGTGACTGCATCATCTGGCGCTGTCGCCACTCTGTCTGCTGTTACATCGAGTGTGAGCGCATCCTCGGCTGTCGCTACGGCTTCGTCCGTATCTAGGGCCTCTTCCCTAGTATCAAGTATCTCTTCTACCGCTGTCGCTACCCCTTCCTCCACCGCGAACCCCTTGCCCTCGGATGTGGATGTCGCTGGGGGGTTAATGGAGGAAGATTGGGTGGATGAGAGGTAATGGTCGTTGAAGCACCAGACGCAACCGCAGACACGGGGCTCAACGAAACGGACGAGGAGGCCGCAGCTGAGAGCTTCGCCAAGGCGAGTCTGAGCAGTAAGCTGACTGCAAAGTCGAGTACTGTTACGCCCAGTGCGGCTGTGTTCTCTGCATCTACCTCATGGCTGTCTCCGTCCTCTTCTTCAGTGCCGAGCACGACAAGTAGCGGAGAGGAGACTGCTACGACGAGCAGCAAGGGCCCATTTACGTTTGCCACGAGCGTCTAAGATACTTTGCATACTTACTGGATGTGGACTTTGTTGCATTTGTATTTTTAGCCTATGTTGTACTCAAGTACTTTCCTTTACTTTACGTGGATCAGAATAGATGTAGAGCTTCGAACTTGCGCGAGGGACGTAGCGTTAATTCTTCGTTGGGCCGCGGAGGTTTTCTGCCCTTGAGAAAGCCCGGAGACGGAGCGCGATCGAGATGCGGGGTTTACGTCATACCATCCGATATGGTGTAACGGCTAACATTGCCGCCTTTCATATGATGTGCGGTGTAGGATTCACGCGGCAGCTCGGGGTTCGATTCCCCGTATCGGAAATGCACCTCCATATGTCATTTTCATCCAGTTTGTAAGTACGCCACTAGGGTTGCGCAGTAATATAATTTGGACGGACCTCGGACTGTCTTCTTTTTCCTACCTCGCGGATGACATTGACCTTAAGCATGGCAGGGGCGGCTAGTCCGAGCGTCCGAGGGAAATTGAGCAGTGCAGCGGCGTTTACTGGAAATGTCAACGTTTGAATGCCAAGAAATTAATCAGTAGTACTGAGCCGTGATTCGTGAAAGGTAGGTAGGTAGAAACCAGGTCCCTATCAGGAACAACCAGGTGTGAAAGCGTGGCGAAGTCCAGCTGCCGCCTGTGCAATTCCTCCCGGGGATATCTTAAGAGGCTCTTCGGTTGGGAACTCAGACTTTTCGAGATAGCGTCTGCGTGTTAGTCTTTCCGTACTCGTCAAGAACTTGAGTGTGCGGTCATCGACGATGGGCGCGACAAGCAGTACCGGATGCTCGCCGTCTATCGTCATCTGCCTGACCATTGCACAGAATAACGGCCAGGGCGTCTCGTCGCCCCAGTCGTTCCAATGCTTACTGCATCCCTCTACCCAGTCCACGGTAACATGAGAATCGTCCGGTATCTCAGGAAGATACTTTGGCTGGTACTCTTCCCGCGACGGGAGCGTCGAGTACTGATAATCGAATGTCAGCACGAGGTCCTGAGTGTCTTCGGTATCTGTCAATGAAAGCAGCTGGACGACAGTGTCGTAGTGCTCTCGAAGGTCTCGTACGGCCATCCATAGCCAGAACTCTTCATCGAGACGGGGGATATGGAAGCTATAAAGTCGTCCACGTCCTGATGTTTGACAATCAGTGTTCGGAGCATGAACATTGAGTGGTGACAACGGACCGCGGGTTTCTACAATCTCATGACAGTACGTTCGATGTCTGGTCTGCCAGTCACGTTTTTGGCAAGTCGAAGAGCAGTATGCCGTATGCATACACGCCGAACAGCACCTGAGCTTCGATGAGGACTCAGAGACAGATCCGATTCGTGGACACTAAAAAAATTACAATCAGTGTTGGCAGAGGACTGCAAGAGGTCCACGAACCTGCTCGTTTGCGCATTCAGCGAATGCCGCCTGACAGAACTTTGTATATAAGTGCCATTGGTTGGATGCACTGGATCCAAGCACCATCCACTGCTGTAGGAATGGGGGCCGAGGAGGAAGTATCAACGATTCGGCGGCTTCATCGCCGAGGCGCTCGCGACCGGCTCGAAAAAGCTTTAGAACAGATGGATAGAAGACGTGAGGCATTTGCCTCTCAAAGATCATCTTGAATATGTCGTGTGGTGCATCATAATACTCGTCATGGGCGAACTTGTCCCAATGTAGTTCCCGGAGACGCTTACTGGCGATAAGCATTATTTCATGGAGACGATGCTGCATGGAGGTTTTGATAGGAGGATAGCCGCCCCGCAACTGTCCGTAGATCGCGTCAAGGGTCAAGGTGATGACGTTAGGCAAAGTCTCCGCAATTGGACAATTGGAATAATCCATCAACTTCGCTCTGCGAGACGACAGTCGAGCGAGTAGTTTAATGAGCAGAGGAAAGAGCTCGCCGGCCCCATATACCACGCTAGACTTTGGAATACTCGTCGCGAAAATGGTCATTACAAAGAACTTCAAGGTATACCCCAGATCAAGTCTCTGCTGAGCCAAGATCTGTGCGAGAGAAAATGACAATGCGTAGGAGACGTTCGCCCGTGGATGGTCTCGAAATTCAAGATGCGTAGGGTGGGCTTTCATATTCGTCGAATCCGAAATCATGGTCAGAACATCAAGGAATGGGCGAAAGGAGATATCAACGTGGGCCAATGACGAAAATATCATGAGGCGAGCAATTGAGCGAGTGAACGATGCATTCACCGCAGTCTCCTGGTTCAGAAAAATAGTGGAATAAGTTCCCACCTCTAGTAGCGCTGCGACTAGCTCGGCGACAATGGGCGCAATGCCTGGGACTTCTTCAGCGTGATTGTTTTCTGGATCACAAACAAAGTTGACGACGTTCGTCACTCGAGCCCCCAGAAGAGGGAAATGAGCGACGATTGTTTCAACAGAGAAGGGTCGCAAGATTGGTGATTTGGACATTTCAACCCCCAGGGATATAATCTCGAAACAGCGCAGGAAAATGGAATTAGGTGAGGACGATGAATCGCCTGACGGAAGTTCGAGCAGTTTCCACACTACTGGGGCAGTCAGGCGAAACGGGACTTTCTCGGAGCGCACAAGAAAGACGAGATCTGCTCCAGTGTCTGATGAGGGACTTTGAAGCATCGCGTTAGCTAAAACCTACGCCAAAAGACGATATCAGCGGCAACAGGCGAAGATTGTTCCGTTCTACTTACCTTGACGCGACCTGATAGATTAACAGAAGTCATACTACCGACGGCTAGGCCGCTTTCCACCGGACAACGGGGTCTGAGGTTTGTCTGAGGTCAAGAAGATTGCAAGGTACACAGCCACCACATTGGCTCCGGATAAGATAAGACGGTTGCACAACTCCCGATCATAATCTGAGACTCTCATCCTGCCACCATGTCACAGGTAATACTCCGCTATGCCGCGTCCGCCTCCCGTATTCCTCGCAGAACATTACACACTACTGCCGCTAGTCTATCCGACTTTCATTTTGACACGCACCACTTTGTCCAGCGGCTCGAGCGCGAAGGCCTGAACCGCGCCCAGGCAGAAGGCATCATGACCGCGCTCGCAGAAGTAATCGACGAGTCCATCCGGAACATGGCGTCGAACATGGTCACCAAGGCCGACCAGGAGAAACAGCATTATACCCAACAAGTCGATTTCGCGCAGCTCAAATCCGAACTGCTGCTCGTGTCGAAGAATGACTTGGCATCTCTGAAAGGCGCGCATGATGCGCTGCAGACAGAAGTGGAGCGGCTGAAGGCGCGCCTGAGGGAAGAGGTTACGCGGACGCAGGCCGGGGTTCGCTTAGACCTCAACTTGGAACGGGGCGGATGAGGGAGGAGGGTAAGAAACAGGAGCTGAAGGTTAGAGAGGTGGATACGCGGATTGAACAAGAGATCGCCGCGCTGAGGACGGGCATTCAGATGAGCAAGGCAACGACGTTGCAATACCTTGTTGGCTTTGTTACAGGTGGTGCGGCGCTATTGATGGCGTATGTGCGCTTCAAGTCATAGGACCGCCGACTGGTCCCTCGAAGCATGTGAGTAGTTTAAATGCATTAGCGTATCTAAAAGGATCTCAATGTTTTACTTTGGCAGAATCAACAAGGGAGAGTTTCTCAAGACTCTTCCATATTCTACTACAGAAGGCGACATAATGATGCTACAATACACTAGTAGACGGCGACGCAGTGATAGATTCAAATGTGCCTTCGACACAGAACAATATTGGGATATGGACAACGATATACAGTAATGTACAACGCATAACAGTGAGTATGGAATAGCAAATGCGATGAATATTAACTTCTGAGAAAGATAAAGATCAGAATATCTCCTCCCGAGGCACGAAACGCCCTCGAACGTTTCCGCCGCACGCCATCCCTACCGCCGTTGTAAGTTCTGTCGGGACGTGGCTTTAACCGTGCCACAGTCTCCTCCATAGCATACTCAACGTCGTTGCCACTATGATACGCCGGTATGTCCTTCAGCTCGTTAACGGAACCTATCACCCTCAGGCTCGCCAAGAGCCTCCGCCGCCAATGCTTGGACCTCAGTCAACTTAGTGAAATCAAAGGCGCCTCGAACTCGCTCCTCATCGCACCCAATGTAGTTGAACAGCGACTGGAAAATTAGCGCGGATCTAACCTCCTCTTCGATGGCTCCGCCGATTCAGACTACGCTACGTACTAGCCACCTTCCAGAGCGAAACGAAAAGGGTTCAATGATGATACAGTCCCAGATGAAATTACCAATGTCGATGGTTCAATGACGACTTTCAATCCCTGTGTTCAGCATTATTGAGCTCCCGCTGACAATTGGATGAGCATTAGTACGGAGAAAGATGACAGCGAGCCTGTCTTCGAAGGCAACAGATTTAGTGGAGACATTCCGAGAGTTCCGAAGCCCAACTTGAACACCCGGCGGATGGAAAACGGTGACGCGAATGGGGGTCTTGCGCCGGGCGAAATCCGTAGCGAGTCCTACGGAAAGTTTCTCCAGGGCAGTCTTCGAGGCTCCGTAAGCCAACTACAGTAAGGGTGTATCAGATATGAACTTGACTCTTGAGGATGGACCAAGAGCCTAATCACGTGACAGATTCCTGCCAACTATGTAGCGCCACAGCAAAGCGCAGGGCCTACGTAGTAGAATGCACCAGTAGGCGCACCTCTAAGGCTTGCGTATTCGCTGTTCTCTGAGGGGCGAATGAAGTCACGAGCAGTCATTTCCCAATTATAATTCTTGTCAAGCAGACAAAAGCCGACTGAGACTTTTCATTTGGAGCTGCTTGAACACTAGTACTGAAGCCTAATAAATATGGTACACTGCGATAACTACATCCGCTGGGGAGTACTACTATTCGTCTTCGTTTAGGCCTGTGATGACAGCATCGACCAGGATGTGATTATGATCGGTCGCCGCCTGATACAACAAAAAGCCTTTGAACTTCTGCCCCTCAATGTAGTGAGCCTTCGCCTTCATGGATCGATCATCATCATACGAGACCAAGGTGCCCGAGGTCGTATTGAACACATAGGACTATAATTCCGATTAGTACACAACGCAATGCAGGAGAGAAGAGGAAGAATACGAACCGTCTGCGTGCAATCGTCAAAAGCATATCTGAGGCCCTTGTTCTGGGGCACATTCCCGTCATCGCCAAGATAGCCCTCCGCGACGAGCTCTCGGTAAGAAATCAGCCCGTTCTGCGCTGGAACGTGAGGCTCAGGAGTGACTCTGTTGGCGCATTGGTCGGAGGCGGGAGGTAATGAAACTCGTTGCCGGCCCATATATTCGGACGCGCAAATGAGCCATAGGTTGGGTAGTTATCTAC